CACATAATCTGGATACCATTGCAATGTAAAACCTGGAGAGGTTCATGTTCCACATTTGAGAAAGATTCGGGTTTGTCTCTGCCAAGGCACCCAGGCAACTCAGCAAACCTTAAGGTCTTGGAGCAGAGCCCAGGTCTGAGTCAATCATTGCACCTTCAAGCGCAAAGAAGCAGGTAACCTGATGCTGAGAGTATGTCCTATCTACTCATCTCTATGGATGCTTTGTCACCGCACTGTGGGAAGCATGGCAGTCGAACATATACATATGCACATCAAGTGGTACAGATTCACCTGTAAAAAAAATTGTAATTTGAGTATATTCCTTGGACTGTTTGAATGAATAAGCAAGTACAGTAGTGACAGTTCACTAGTACTTGAATTTTTCACCTAAATTTGCTCATCTACTTGTACTTTCGCTCAATTATTTATGACCTGTCTTCTAAAACCCATCTTAATGCAGTCACATTTTTCAACCTCATCATGACTTGTTTATCTGTCTTCAAAACAAAGCAGCATGTAACATGATAATCGCTAGTGCGTGTATATTAATCATGTTTATGAAAAAGTTGTTGGAGGGTTACTATGGAAGATTTTATTTTTGGAAATGTTAAAATATTGCGGTCCTAATTGTTGCCCAGCCGTATTCCGTACATGTGTTTGTTTACCTGTAGCTGCCATCTACATAGATGCTTGTTTTGCTTCTAATGTGCTTGATCAAACACATCTACAAGCCTCTCAGCGTGAGGGATGAGTCTGTCAAATCCACCTGCCTCTCTCCTATCCTGTCTGAAGATTTAGTATCTCCGAGGCAGACATTTTCTCTTTTTTGCTGGCGTCTTGACCCCCCTCCTGGCCCTGTCCGGGGCCCTTGGCGAAAGGTACCATGTTATTTACTGCGCAGAGAGCTCTGTGTGCAGAGAATCAACACAGCTTGGCTGGTTGAGCAAGGGAGCAACCTGCTGCTCACTCTCAAAGATACAGTCACATGACCCTCCCAAGGGGCTGGCAGAGATGTTTACCCGCGCAACAATCACTACACACGGTATAATTGAGAGCCATGGACAGAGACAAACAGACACAGGCATGCACATAGCCCTAGCAACTTAAACCTGACAGTGGTTTCAAGCCATTTTGGCAAATATGAAGCTTTGGGTTTAATGAGGTGACAGAGCAAACACCACATGAAGGCTGCAAAAAGTTAAAACTGACAGAACATGACAGCATTCACTCAGGTGAATTTTACAGTCAGCTGGACTCCCTTTGAAACATATCCTTAGGTGAATTAAGCTCGGGAAGGACATTCTGAAACTTGGCGATTGAATCTAACCTCTGACCTGCACATGTTGGATGAATAAAGAGAGATCCAGGCTAAAGGAAGTGTGTTCTGCTCAACGACCTAGACTTTTTCAACATTATTCCCTGAAAAGGTTGACTGAAGTGCAATGGCAACAAACCCTTCCCTTCGGAACACTATTCTCAAATCTCCAGCTGGGATCAAAAGACCAATACATTAGTCTCTGATGGATTATAGACATTTCTGTCGTTTTTCAACAGACAAAAATGTGTTTTCAAGTGCTCTTGAAAGGTCCATGTTTTAAGATTAGAAAGCAGATCCGCACTGACATTCCTTCTCCAAATCCCCTCCTTCCTCTCAGTAATTATAGCCTTGCAGCTGACAAACTACAGGTCTGTCTGTTGTGTTTGTCTTTACCTCCTCAGATACAACAGGTGAAGTAAGGCCTGTTTGCGCTGGGCTGAATACCACGCTATTACTGGTTCTTCTAGCCAAGTACATAATACCCTTCCTGGTACAACAATAAAACACCTGGGGAGTAAAGCAGAAACAGTCCTATTTCTTTTCTTTTACAACAAAAAAAACGGAATGTTCCCATTTACTAAAACCCTGAGGGAGAAGTCTGCAATAGTTAACTTGGTGAGGATGATTTATTCAGAGGACTAGAGATTATTTGATACATTGAAGACTGGGTTGATTGGATATAGGGTTATGATGAGGGAAGATGAGGGAGCTGGGTGTGAGGGATACGAGCGCGATGCAAGGAGGACTGGGATCAATCTTTTATCACTGCAGTGTGCTTTCATCCCTAATGGATCCGACATGAGCAGAGCACAGAACCATCTTCCGTCACATTGCACAGGCAGGGGAAGGACGCACGGAAAGAGCAAGACGGAGAGATAATAATAATAATTCCTTACATTTATTATAGCGCTTTTCCAGATGCTCAAAGCGCTTTACAAATACACATTACACATATCATACATGCAATGGTCATGGACAATACCCACAGGAGCAAGTTCAGGTGAAGTGTCTTGCCCAAGGACACAACAGCTTTACAGACGCAGCAGCGGCGGGTTTCACCCCTTGATCTGATGATCATTGCAGAGCGCACTGCGCCACACCGTCCATCTTCACGCCTCAAAGTCATCGAGGCGCTTTTACAAGTACACATTGGTATTATACATGTACTGTGGACATTACCCACAAGAGCAAATCCGGGTGAAGTGTCTTGCCCAAGGACACAACGGCCTGACGCAGTGGCGGCAGGAGCGGGTTTCGAACTGGAGTTCCCCAGCACCCCCCTTGATCTGATGATCAGATGCACAGACCACTGCGCCACCCGTCCCGATAGAGCTAGACGGATCAACACGTGAGAAAGACGGACAGGGAGGGAGGGAGAAAGTGGTTCTAACCACCTTCCCAAAACCAACCACAACTCCAAACATGCAAACATGTTATTTCAGCGACATGCTGTCATAGTTTTCCAATTACCCCTGGTCCTGAGTACATCTGAAGGAGTTGGGTAACAACTCATGATAAGGACGCTGAGAAATGATGTCAGAAAGACTTTGAAATGTCTCATCAGGAGGAATCCCAAGAGATATCTGGTTGTGCATGGGCGGACTTTCTTTCCTGGCCATGCAAGCTGAGTGACAGATAGACACACTGACAGACAGACAGAGAGAGAGACAGAGAGACAGACAGACAGAGAGACAGACAGACAGACAGACAGAGAGAGAGACAGAGAGACAGACAGACAGACAGACTATTCTAGAAGAAGTCCATCTGTGTATTCGAGCAGTGAAAGAGCAGTATAAATAATATTGCGGAGAACAAGGCACGACAACTCTCAAAGGACACTCTGCTCTCTATGCCGAACAGACTCATTCATGTGATAGAAAATACGAAATATCTAGGAAGTGAGGGAGTAACAAAAGAGAAGGAAAGAAAAAAGAAAGTGGTAACTAAACAAGGCTGGGAATAAAGCAGAACGTTTTATAATGCAGAGTTCAAGGCTGCTGGCAACCACATCATTATCCTGCTATCTGATAGTTGCTTTAGGAATATTATCTTTAGCACTTCAACGAGGGGGGACAGCAGTACGTTTTATCACCACTCCTATGCTCCGTCCATCAAGAAATGGAAGCTAACATGCTCAACTTTCTATGTGTCACTGGTTTCAGGTAATACAAATACTGTATTTAAGATGGCTGGTTGGCCAGGGAGCGAGCAGTATGCAGGGTCAGTATCAGACACCAGACAGGGAAACGAGCAAAGGTCAAATGAGACTTATACAGTTGAACAAGTGCAGACACATTAGACTGAAGAACAAAAAAGAGGTAATAATTAAATTGGATTACTAGACATTTTAAATTATCAAATAGGAGCTATATGAAAGAGAAAAACTCATACTTTAGTACGATGGTATAATACATTCAAATAATATAAGTACAAGTGCAAAAATTCAAAAATGTTATATCACCGAATATAAAGTCAGGAGTTGCTCAATAAGAATTGTGAAAGATGCTTAAGATGACAAAGTGAACCCAGAGGGGATGTTCTGGGTATATTGGAACATTTGCGGTTTCAAACAAACAACACTGCAAAAAAATAAAGCTTATTATGGGATAAATAAAAACACTCCAGCTCCAGCTTGTATAATTTGTGATGACATCACAAGTTTGAAACTAACCTCTCTGGGTTTTTGGCTTTGGGAGAGTGTAGCTCGTGTTTACAATAATTAGCTGAACTTTCCGAGGCCCTGGTAATAACATTCATTAGTTTTAAATGTAGGTGATGTTCCGATTAAAAGCTACGATATGCCTGAGTCAAAGTCGTCCATTCCTTCCCCTTCCACCATTTATCATGCTGACAATATCTCTCTGGAACCAGGTACACCGTGTGAAACGTCAAACAGAGATAACACATGAGGTATAACTGTGTAACTCCCACAGTGAGAAAAATAATCACCTCCCGAGGGGGGGGTTGGAGAGGGGTTTCCAATCGATGGCCTTGATTGGACAACAAATACAGCCTGCTAATGAGCTCCAAGTTCCACTATCTGACATAAACCATGCTGGCAAATGTTAAATAAGATGTTAGTCATGCATAACGATGAGTCAATGTTTAAATAGGCTTAGAGTGCTTTGGTCATTAGTGTGGGCATTTTAGATGTGTAGCACGTTAACAGTTAAATAGGGTAGGAACATGCAGCCGTGCATAAATTAATATATATTCCTATGGTGGTAAAAGCAGCAGCCTGTGCGAAAGGGAGATCTGTACAAAAAGATCTACTGCACTTGTCTGTTTGCCCGTAGAGGCCAGCTATCTGACTCACACTGAGAGTACTCCAAATACACAAAAAAGCACAAAAAAGTTCCTAAAGAGTGGAGTTTCACCAAAACAGGTTTGAGTCTTCACAGAAGTGCTTGGGTGGCGGGTCTAGTGTCAACAGGTACATGTAGTGACACAGCTCAGGCTCTAAGACAACACAGTAGATTCACTCCGTTTCTATGGCAGTAACCAAAAACATACCCACACAATCTCGTACTGATTCATAATAATTGCTGTCTTTACATGCATGCTAGAACATACAGCAAAGCCACAGACAGGTTGGCTGACTCCAGAGAAACTTCCTTGACGTTGACATTCAAACAGGCAAGGACACATTCAAACAATCTCCGAGCCCAGCCCAGACACTCACCAAGTGAGAGGATCCTCTCCTTCTCTTCTATGACTATATTTCTTCTGTTTTTATTCTCTCCGTCTCCTTTCCTCGCTCAGGGGGAATCCTTTACTTCTGACAAGAGCAGCAGAGCCGGTTGTGCAGCTGGTGTGTGAGCCAGCGAGTGAGGGCGCGTGTGTGTGTGTGTGTGTGTGTGTGTGTGGTGTGTGTGTGTGTGTGGTGTGTGTGTGTGTGTGTGTGTGTGTGTGTGTGTGTGTGTGTGTTTGTGGAGCGTGCAAGTCCAGAGTCCGGAGGTCAGAGGCAGTCGAACGTGATTTAATAGGATGTCGCGACTTCTCCGCTCTATCCTTCTGCCTTCTCTCCTTCTGCCTTCTCTGCTTGCTGCCTCAGGAATGCACTTCTCCTGGGTGTCCTCTCCACAGCCAAGATCTGAGGGACTGCTATGGTTCTCTCCCTCTCTCTCCGTCTACACCCCTCCTCCTTCTCTCTGTCTCTCACCCACACAGAAACACACCCTCCCAGTCCCTCCTCTCTCTCCCCTCTCCCCACCCTTTCTGCTGTGCTGACACTTCAGGTACCTCCCCCTTTTCAGGTAGGTGAAAGCCTGTTTTGAGTTTCACTGTTCTCTCTCTGTATCAATTTCTCTCTTATTCTCTTTGTGTTCTGCATTCCCATGACACACAGAGCAGATTGTAACTAATCTCAGAGAAAAGAGCAGAATCAACCCGAAACTCTGTGGATGCATCTATACCAGCTTTTACTGTAAGTACGATCTATAACCTCAGGCATAAAGCATCCACCCTCCTGCCTCTGGTCACATGAACAGCTGATTACACAAATGAGTCTGTCAGGTGATTTTCTTCCTTTTCCTGGAATGAGGTCATTATCTGGCAGACCAGGTGCAGTTGGAGTGTGTGTGTGTGTGTGTGTGTGTGTGTGGTGTGTGTGTGTGTGTGTGTGTGTGTGTGTGTGTGTGTGTGTGTGTGTGTGTGTGTGTGTGTGTGTGTGTGTGTGTGTGTGTGTGTGTGTGTGTGTGTGTGTGTGTTTGAGCAGGACTGTGCCCTGTGGGAAAATGTTGAGACTGATACAACCAATATCTGACCAACCCATTTCAGAGGGTAACAAATGTACAAAACAATGCATAATGACTACTCAACATTCACTCATGTAACAATGCCACAGTCCTGAAGCTTCTATCTCCACTGCCCCCCTCCCACACCCAAACAGAGCTAAGACATGCGTGACCAATCGGTCAGGCAGAATGTGTGGGAGAACCAGCATGAGCCGACTTCTGTTTTTTCTATTGACACCTCTCCTCACCCTATCACTTAATTTCCCTAAATTGTACATTTGAATTGTTATTGGCCTCTTTTATTTGTCTCCTTACCATCCCCCCCTGAACCTGAAACTGAAGAGTGGCCACTGAAAATAAACCTGATACTAGGCAGAAGTCTTAAGTGTAAAACAAAACAAAAAAGTGAACTGTACCATCTCTAACGACCTAAAAGCACACAGTAAAGTATATGCCTGCTATCAGCTGTTCATGTAAATTACAGTGCATCTATCAGACATGCCCATTGATAAAAAGAAACCATGATCCAAACTATAGAAGGTCAAAAGTGTCAAAAGTCTTTGTTAACCTGGATATTTTTAGGCCAACACTATTTTCAATATGTGAGAGTTACGAAATAATAACAAATTATATAAACAAATATTCATGAATGCCCTTATATAACTGTTTTTTTTTTTAGCAAAGTGACCAAAATATGTTCTTAGCAGGACATTTTATAGCTAAATGTATTCATTCTCTGTGGTGGACAACCTGCTCTAGGACAACTGTTTCTAATCTACCTCAAGAATATCCAACAGAGTAAACCAATACTGATATATCCATGATAAGCCAATATATCAGCCAGGTTGTTATTCTGACCCAAAAGTCAGACAAGTTTCTGGTAAATAAGTTCTGCAGCCAAGCCATGCCTACATAATGTCTCAGAATGCTTGAACATCTAACTGTTACTTTACTTTGTTTGCTTATTTTTCCTTGATTGAGCTAAGGACATTTTATAACTATTATTGAAACAATGCATCACATAATAAAGTTGTCAAAAAGGTCAAGGCAAGGCAAGTTTATTTATATAGCACTTTTCAACACAAGGCAATTCAAAGTGCTTTGAATGTGTCAAGGAAAAGTATTCAACATATTTTTTTGTCAGAAGTCACAATAAATCATAGTGGCAGTTTAAAAAATGCACAACATGGCTCTACATTATTCAGCAGCAGCAGCAGGCCCTAGACAAAACCTACTTTATCCTTGTGTTAACTTTGTGATTATCTGACGTCAGATTGTGTTCCGATCAGACTAATGAGGACATGCAGTCATAGTGCCTAATAACCAGTGTGCACATTGTATAAAGCAGATGTTCCAGAAATAGACGTCTTAGATTAATTGCATTAATTTGATGAATTAAATCATGCAAACAAATTCCACTGTGAAGACTGCTCTAGCATAGCCAGGCTGAGTCACAGAGCCCCGCAGAGAGCCAGTCCAACTCTATGTGCACTGTTTCACTCTTCTGCCTGTGAAGCAAAGCTTTTGGCACATCTAAGAGCTGTGTTGTCTGACAAATCACTTGAACCACACTGGTGGGGGTGTGGGGGGGGGCTCCTGAGGCATTGCTGAAGTACTAAAGGCCAGTGTGAGAAAAGGCCTATAGGTGCCATAGAAGAGTGACATTATAAAAGCAGCAGTGAAGTAAGTACACTTTATGGATACTGACAGTCTATTACCCTTCAGTGGTTGTTTGCATGTCTATCATCAGACCCAAATCAAGTCAGTTGGATAGATGTTGTTGAAAGACATGACTCAGCAGTGGTTACAACAGGGCTGAAATCAGAGTGATGGGTAAGGGTTTTGTAATGAGATGTGGATGATTATCAGTCCAGAGCATCCGAGGCTTCTCTGACACCTTCCAGGCATTCCTCAGGGCACCTCCCACTGCTGTGCCTCCCTCCTCCCACCCTCCCCTGTCAAACCCCACATGTCATCGCTCTTTTTCTGCGTGACTCAAACATTCTTGCAACCCCCTTTCCACCTCCTCCTTCCCTCCTCCCTCTGCATTCAGCAAAAGAAGCTAAAGAAACAAAGACGAGGTCTTAAAAGCTTTAAGAAACCTGGGCATTAAGAAGAAATCCTCCCCAATTTTGTACTTTTTATTCTTGTTGCACAAAGGCTGAAAATGCACTCAACTACCAACTCTAAATGGCTATTTAACTGCCTTCAATCATCACCAACCTCTAAGTTCATTCCTCGACAAGTGATAGTAGGTATAAATTTGCCAAAAGAGCGGCGAGCCAGCCATAACTCAGCTCAGACCAGACAGGAAGATGGCTCTCGGGCTGAGAAATAGACTGGTTGGGTCTGGCAGCAGTTCAATAGGTTCTGGGTAGGGGAGCAGAGTGAGGGGAATACATGCTGATAGTGTCTTTGTTGGCCATTATTTACCAAGAATGAATAGCATTATGTTCCTTCCATGGCTCACCCCTTCCAGTCTTCCAAGTTGACCCCCCCCCCCCCCCCCCATCTTCTCTCTCTATTTATTCAGGCTTTCACTAAAAACAGCCTTCAACAGGTGGACAACAGGTCAACATAAAGCCTGGACAGTGAGTGGAATGAGGGCGGCTTACTTTAGCTCTGATTTCAGAAGTTACACAATCCTGAACTTTTGTTGACATGGGTTTTCAAAGTCATGGCAGGCAACGCAAGGTATTGATGCTCTGTTTTTGCCAAACATGCCTAAGTATAGCATTGCTGCCTCATTATGGTCAGGCCAATGCTGTTGCTTCGGCAGTATGGCCTTGACTTGTGTATCATTATGACAAGCGAGATGGCTTTCCCCAGTAAAGGTAATTGCACTGTTGAGACATAAATATAGCACATCCCACACAACAGACAAAGACTTTTGTTTTCTTCCCAGACAACCTGGCTTAGAATGTGATTCATGTTTTGGAAGCAAATGCATGTCACTATATTATCTCCCTGCAAACAATAACAGCTGCTTCGAAAATGTATTTCCAAAGTGAACCTGAGAACAAAAAGATGAACAAAGTGAAAAGGACAGTAAGAGTGGGTCAATTGGGTCATTATTAACTCCTGGTAAACAAACTGCATTACTGCAAACACTGGAAAGAAAGGAAGACAAACAACAATATACCTGAGCCTTACTTTTCTTCTCTGAACCATTTTGGTTTGCATTAATGAAGCACATAAGAGGATTTCTGTTGGCTTTAAGCAGCTTCCAAGTTGTCGAGACTTTGGCCGCACTCCGGAGCAACTCTTTCTCTCCCTTTTTAATCAGAACCAGTCTAGACTGGCTCAGGACTACGTTTTCAAAAGGTGCTTCTACGACAAGCATGACACTGTGTTGCATTTTTGAGGGCCTGTTTGAAAAGCTATTTTTATTAAGCAAAAACATTAAAACCTAAAATCAAAAGCTGTAATATTTTCCTTCAATACTTTCAAGTGGTCATGTTGGAACTAGTTAAGTAGTGTATCATCTCTCATCCCCTCTAGCAAAGCCAGTCTGTTTTCATCCTACTTTTAGTCATTCTGTTTCTCGAGATTCAACTGTACCATTAGGGTCAAACCGTGCTGTTCCCAATCAGTAAATGGAGACCTTATTGGTACTGGTGTGAAAATTGTATCTTTAGAAAGCACCTCAAGTTTTCACTTGTGCACAAAGTTGGATGGTATGATGACAGAGAGGCATTTTCATTTGTCTCCCTGTCTTTCCGATGGAAGAAGTGCAAGTGAGTCAGGACAAAAAAGAGTCAAAGTCCACAAGAGGCTCCTGCCAGTGACCCCAACCCCCACACCCCCCTACAAGCCGCGGGTCCTGGCTAAGCTGAGGATTTCTCAGGAGAGACCCAACCCACAGGCCACAACTCTGGTCAAGGCGTGCCATGTGCACTGACAGAGCAAGGAAAACAAAGAGTAGGCGAGATGAGATATTGGCCTGTGTGGGGGTTGGTATCGCTGATTTAATGACGATCTCAGTAAAAAACAAAAGCTGGTGGTAGGGGGGCACTGGATGCACAGGAAATGCAAGTTAGTGACAGGGGAGCTATCAGGTGGGAGCAGGTCAGGGGTCGGAGGTGAACAAAAGCTTTGTAAGCCCCACAGAGCGAGGGAGAGTCCCCCCTGGACGCCCTCACTGACGCCCAGTCTGTCTGTCTGCATGCCTTCCGCCTGTATTTTGTTTTTCTCACAATGTTTTCGCAAATACGTTTGTCAAGTCTTGATGCCTTTCAATTTGTCTTCCATATAGACTAATATTTCACCCTTGCTTTTTTTTCCATTCATTCAATACAATGTTGACAATCTTGAGCTTTTTCATTGAGTTTCCGGGGGAAAAGGCTATTCAAACACCTGGAGTAAAAACAGCATCTAAAAGCTTTCAGTGCACCGCGCCT